ATATAAGGATAGAGAACGAAGAGCTGATTCAAATAAGTACAAACATGAATGTACTGATTGGAAAGCAAAGCCCAACATAAGCAAAAAAAAATTTTGGTGGCGCGAACAGGAGAAGATTCCGGAAAAAAAACTTTTCGAAACAAGAACGAAGTAACAAGCGCATACCATATAAGGATAGAGAACGAAGAGCTGATTCAAATAAGTACAAACATGAATGTACTGATTGGAAAGCAAAGCCCAACATAAGCAAAAAAAAATTTTGGTGGCGCGAACAGGAGAAGATTCCGGAAAAAAAACTTTTCGAAACAAGAACGAAGTAACAAGCGCATACCATATAAGGATAGAGAACGAAGAGCTGATTCAAATAAGTACAAACATGAATGTACTGATTGGAAAGCAAAGCCCAACATAAGCAAAAAAAAATTTTGGTGGCGCGAACAGGAGAAGATTCCGGAAAAAAAACTTTTCGAAACAAGAACGAAGTAACAAGCGCATACCATATAAGGATAGAGAACGAAGAGCTGATTCAAATAAGTACAAACATGAATGTACTGATTGGAAAGCAAAGCCCAACATAAGCAAAAAAAAATTTTGGTGGCGCGAACAGGAGAAGATTCCGGAAAAAAAACTTTTCGAAACAAGAACGAAGTAACAAGCGCATACCATATAAGGATAGAGAACGAAGAGCTGATTCAAATAAGTACAAACATGAATGTACTGATTGGAAAGCAAAGCCCAACATAAGCAAAAAAAAATTTTGGTGGCGCGAACAGGAGAAGATTCCGGAAAAAAAACTTTTCGAAACAAGAACGAAGTAACAAGCGCATACCATATAAGGATAGAGAACGAAGAGCTGATTCAAATAAGTACAAACATGAATGTACTGATTGGAAAGCAAAGCCCAACATAAGCAAAAAAAAATTTTGGTGGCGCGAACAGGAGAAGATTCCGGAAAAAAAACTTTTCGAAACAAGAACGAAGTAACAAGCGCATACCATATAAGGATAGAGAACGAAGAGCTGATTCAAATAAGTACAAACATGAATGTACTGATTGGAAAGCAAAGCCCAACATAAGCAAAAAAAAATTTTGGTGGCGCGAACAGGAGAAGATTCCGGAAAAAAAACTTTTCGAAACAAGAACGAAGTAACAAGCGCATACCATATAAGGATAGAGAACGAAGAGCTGATTCAAATAAGTACAAACATGAATGTACTGATTGGAAAGCAAAGCCCAACATAAGCAAAAAAAAATTTTGGTGGCGCGAACAGGAGAAGATTCCGGAAAAAAAACTTTTCGAAACAAGAACGAAGTAACAAGCGCATACCATATAAGGATAGAGAACGAAGAGCTGATTCAAATAAGTACAAACATGAATGTACTGATTGGAAAGCAAAGCCCAACATAAGCAAAAAAAAATTTTGGTGGCGCGAACAGGAGAAGATTCCGGAAAAAAAACTTTTCGAAACAAGAACGAAGTAACAAGCGCATACCATATAAGGATAGAGAACGAAGAGCTGATTCAAATAAGTACAAACATGAATGTACTGATTGGAAAGCAAAGCCCAACATAAGCAAAAAAAAATTTTGGTGGCGCGAACAGGAGAAGATTCCGGAAAAAAAACTTTTCGAAACAAGAACGAAGTAACAAGCGCATACCATATAAGGATAGAGAACGAAGAGCTGATTCAAATAAGTACAAACATGAATGTACTGATTGGAAAGCAAAGCCCAACATAAGCAAAAAAAAATTTTGGTGGCGCGAACAGGAGAAGATTCCGGAAAAAAAACTTTTCGAAACAAGAACGAAGTAACAAGCGCATACCATGTAAGGATAGAGAAGGAAGAGCTGATTCAAATAAGTACAAACATGAATGTACTGATTGGAAAGCAAAGCCCAACATAAGCAAAAAAAAATTTTGGTGGCGCGAACAGGAGAAGATTCCGGAAGAACATGAGATCAACGAAATTTCAAGCGCATAAAGTATGTGGAAAGAGAGAGAAAAGACAGGCAGTGGAATACAACAGGTAAAGCTAGGCAAAGAGTTGAGGAAGGAACAAGGCAGTCAGTAAGAGAATCTTCTCAACCGTGCGAAACAGAACGAATGTCAAATAAAAAGAAAAAAAAGAAAAACAAATTGAATAAACCCTCATGATATCTTCCGATTCTCACTTCCGACATTGAGGAATCAACCAACTCAAAAGTTATAAGTACGAGTCAATCGAGAAACAAGGCACAACGCACGCGAACAAAAATCTTCGAAGGCGCCTACAGTAAAGAGGAAGCAAGAGGAAATCTTAAGACATATGTAGCTTCGATATCAAACACAAAGAAACAACAACAACACAACAGAATAGAAGCAAGCGAATGAACAATCGAAACACGTACCTTCATCAGAATTCTAGTTGAAACTTCTTCGAACTTCCAGAAATGGATTGAGTTCGTTGGAGCAGAGCTCAACCCAAGGAACCGCGACGCGTCTGAAATCTTATAAAGCTTATATCTTCAGATATTGGTCTTTTCGAGAAGTCTCTCCTAGTTCACGATGACCAGCATTTAATTCTGCACCTGAAAAGCTAAAAAAATCAAGGAGAAAATTTTTGCCCCAAAATGGAAAAAAAAAGAAAAAAGCCTTATGTTAGTTCAGCCTTTTTTTC